ACTTCAGATGTGATATTTTAATATATCTCACCGTTTTCGACGTACAGATGAAACAGAAATAAAATAATCAGATTCAGAAATATGTAAAATTCGTAGTTTTTATGTCTTATAAACAGAACTCTGATTAATCGAACTAGTAATTTCATTGAAATTATTTAGCTCACATAAGTTATAAAGAGTGGAAAGTTTTGACTCATAGAAACCTCAAGTGTGTCATTATTTTGTTTGAAATTTGATCTTAAATTGGTACATTTTTCTTTTAGCATTTTAAAGTTTTCATTCTGCCACTGTTATAAGCTGTAGACGTCGAAGAACGCTCAATATCCTGGTGTTCTAATTTACTTATAGGTGAACCTAAACATATTATATGATAATTTGAACTATATTTACTCATCATAGTGCTTCTCAGTTGTATGTTGTGGTCGAATATATCGCGATATGCACGTATTTCTTGCAAATTGACAGGAAATTGTTCCTCAAATTTTGAAATACTTTAATACATCTAAGTGAGTATTTCTTGAAAATTGACAGGAAATTGTTCCTCAAATTTTGAAATACTTTAATACATCTAAATGAAATGAATAGTTTTATGTAGGTTGAAATGTTACATCATTAATGTGTGGATAGTTTTTTTCAAGGTGATTAATGTTATATCAGTGTTAAAATGCGAGATTAAAACGTGACTTTTTACAAATTATTAGGTACTCATTTTTATACGATATTAAAGTTATGAGGCTTTTGAAAATACTTGTTCAGACTTTACTAGATACAAAAATGTGTGATTCAGAATTTTTTCTTAAAGTTACAAAAAGAGTTTTCTGCGCAAAAATGTCCCTAATTTCAACTGATAATGTAGAAAGGTAACTAGTCAAGAGCACCCACCACCAACTCTTCAGATACTCTTGTTTGATCGAACACAGTCGGATTTGACTTTTGCTTTTATAGCACACCTACGGTTCCAAAGTACGGATCACGATTTTACAGGCCGCGAACCATGAATCCGTTTCAGCATGCTAACAGCTAGGTCACGCTCGCCCCACCTAATATAATATACCCCCGGTGACTCAGCAGTAAGCCTGAGGACTTATGACGCTAAAATCGGGTTTTGTTATCCGCCGTAGGCAGAACACAGGTTATTTTGTAGCTTTGTGCTTAACACTATACAACAATAAAAAAAACACACACAAAAGAACAACACAATATAAACTCTAAAATTTGATAGAAGGTGTAATTTATTTGTATTGTATCATATTCATCAAGAAATATGGCTTGCAATTAGTTCATAGATGGCGGTGAAGGATTACCGTACCAGATGTGATGTTCAAGTTCTCAAGATTTTCAATCGCAATGAAATCCAAAGAAAATGGCTGAAGTCACTGTCATGCCCTTCGAACCAATTTCTAGCAATAGTAATGAGAAAGTATTTCAATATATATTTAGAAGAGCCCATCTCTTCATGGGGAAAGATGCTTAAGTGAACAAAATCGACTTCAGCGTTCAGAAATTGGTCGGATACAATTTGCCCTTCTAAAGGCATCAAAGGGTCCATCATTACACGTCCTCAATCGACCTGTATTGTAGGGATAATATAGGAGGGATCAAGTTTTTTTTATGAGGATTTTTCTCCATATGTGCATTCAACAGATAGTAAACACACATCCACAAAGGTGAACCACGACTCATCAGACGACATCATACACTTCCAATTATCTTCTGTTTATAATTTGCAGTTTAAGTAGCCCTGAAGCCACGCTTTTCCGTTCGCCCCCAAGGTAAAGGGTTTTACATATAGTTGTCATCTGTCATGTGTTTCAGATCTTCGCACGGTAATGTCGAAAATCGTCAAATCCTGACCACTACTGAAACAATTCGTTGTTGTCTAGTTCACCTTAGATGTCTTCTGTCCAATTGCTATTTCTCTCGTCTGTCACTATCAGGTGGCAGCCACATTCCTTTTCGATTACCGGTTTTGATAGACTATGATAATAATATGCTTAATTCAACAGTATTTTGATAATGATTTGCTAAGTGGCACCTACTATCACGCCCTTTGAAAGTCTGAGATATCTTTGCATTTACTCATTCTCTTACTCAAAGCTACTAGAGGGTT